ATGGTAAAAGTGCTTTACATAGAAAGGAATTAAGATAATCAAGAGATATACATGTTTCTAAAACCTCACAATCAATTTAATGTAAGAATGGATTAATGTGCTTGTGTTTCACGAACGACGCCCGGCGTTTAAGAAAACGCTAAAAACAATCAGAACGTTCAGCCAAACGACGGGCAGGTTTTACAGAACTTGAAGATTTTTATTTAGAGTGTGTTTCGATCTGTCTTCTGATTGTTTTCGTGACTTTTTAACTTTTTCTCTCAAGTTTTCCTCATTTTACATTCATACCTCAAGCATTCAGCGGTGGAACGTTACGGGAATGTCTTTTACCTCAGGATCTGTAGTTCAGACCTTTTCTGAATGAGTTTTTATTTTAGTTGTTTTTAGTATCGATTTGAATTCGTCAGAATCAGAAATGCTGACGTGGTTTTATGACGGGACCTCACTGACTCTCTTCTATGCATCCGTCTGGACCCGAGGAAAGGGATCGCTAGGGAAGAGGAATTCCCAGGATCTTCTATACGGTTCTCTCAAACGTTTGATGACTTCGGAGCCCGTCTGTCTCTCAGAACAACAGTCGAATACCTCAGAAACCAGCTGAATGTCTCAGTCGATGTGTGAACGAGCGATCGGCACGCTGTGGGATCTGCTCATACGTTTATTTCATCTGGATCTCAGGGCAACTTTTAAATATATATGGGTGAATCTCATGAAGAAAAAAAAAATATATATATATATATTAGGGCTGTCAAACGATTAATCGCGATTAAGCGCATCCAAAATAAAAGTTTGTGTTTACATAATATATGTGGGTGCACTGTGTATAATTATTTTGTATATAAATAAATACACAAACATTGTATATTTAAGAAAAAAAATATTATTTATGTATAAAATATTTATATTTATATATAATAAAAATTATATATAAATCTATATACATGAAAATATTTCTTAAATATATACAAGCAAGTGTGTGTATTTATATATATATATAAAATAATTATACACAGTGCACCCACAAACACAAACTTTTATTTTGGATTCGATTAATTACGATTAATCGTTTGACAGCCCTAATAAATAAATAAATATATATGTATATATATATATTGCTGTCAAATCAATTCATCATGATTAATCACATCTGTGTATATACACAAACATTTATGTTAAATGTGATTAATCGTGATTAATTGATTTGCCAGCAATAATATATATATGTATTGTTTATGTTTGTGTGTGTGTGTGTATGTATGCATATATTTATATATATATATATACACACACATTATTTATTTACAAACTTTTATGTAAGATGCGATTAATCACATTTAATTGAGTGGACTGCAATTATATATAAATATAATATATATTATATAATATATATTTGTGTGTATGTTTATATACACATAAACGCATAATATAATTACAAACTTTTTGTTAGATGTGATTAATCACGATTAATCGATGTGACAGCAATTTTATATATACATATATATACACACACACACACACACACAAACATATTTAGATATATTATATAATTAAAATAATTTTTGTTAGATGTGATTGATTGATTTGACAGCACTATTATAATATAATACATTTTTTATAAGGAAATTTAGGTCTGTTTTTAGAACCATTTCATTGTCATGATAATAGCCTCACAATTTAAAACGTCCATCATTTTCTTTATGCAAAATAGAATTTCTCATTTCTTTCTGCTGATTTTCATGTGATAAATATCATGCTTTTCCTCAGAGGTTTCATGAGATTCACCCATGAGTGGTGTGATGAAGTTCTCAGCATAACCATCAAATCATTCCACAAACCAGAGCAGAATCTCTGCACGATCATCCTCGCTAATGTCCGATCTCGCATGTTGGCTTTCCGCTACAGGAAGGCGTCTCTCTCAGGAAGTACTGTGATGTTTTTACGTGAACTCATTATTTTTAAGATGCTATGAATATAATCACTCGTGAAGCGTTGTTGTGAAGTGTGGAGATTTACACTACGTACCTCATGCTGCCACGATGACGGGAGGCAAACGCGCTTCCCGAAGACTGTGCGGGATCTGGAATGCTGGACGTGAATCCCTCCTTTCTTTCTTTTTGTCTTTTTTTTTCTCGTGGCAAAACCAAACAAACGTGAATTGTTGCATTTGTACAATCAGGTGATCAAACCTGCTCACCTTAACCAAGCAAACTGCCTTCAGTCCCTGCACAGCTAGATACCAAAGACCAGGTCAAAGGTCATCATATGCATTTATTGATGCTGTTTTCACGAGCGAGTGTTTCAGTGTCAGGCATGTTTGTGATCGACTTCTGGGGTGTGTTTCCTGCAAACGTTGAGTTGTGTGTGTGTGTGAGCGACCGATCTCGATCTCGACACCCCCGATCGAGTCTTGATCAAGATGATGTATTGGGTGACCAGGGAATGACCTGTGCATTAAAACACATGTACGCACGAGCACAAGGTCATCTTGATGTGCTTTCTCTCTATTCTCAGGACACTGATTCTTCTGTTCCAGCTCTGATTCTCCATGTTTGCTGCAGCTCTTCTTCTGTTTGAACTGGATTAAAAACATTGTGCAGATTCTCTGTCCTGTTTTATTGTGATTGTGTTTAATCAGGCTTTTAAGAGCCATAAATTTGGTTTCCAGCTTCGAATCAGTGGACCATCAGAACAAGTTTTTAACATCACATTCGGTCTCTTCAGCCCTGAACATATGGCGACTCCTGAGGGTCAGAGACGAAACTATCCCTGTCAAACAAACAATGTTAAACTCAAGAGATACTGATTCAAGAACAGGTCTAGAGTGTGTCTCAATCATCTCCTTAGGGAATCATCAAATTAAGGGCTGTCTCAATCGCAAAATCCTTACAGTGTGCACTGAAACGTTTGCCTCCTATTAATTCCCACAATGCACCATGAAAATCAGGGAGCATTTATTCTCACTGTGTTCCATCCATAGACAAATACACTAGACCTCACTTTGGCTACGGCAGTTCATTGGAACGAATGCGTCAATAGAGCCGCCATCTTGAAACAGGGGAGCCCCTCCACTTTAATGCATCAGCGTCAATGTAGTAGACACAGGTCTAATGGAAATAAAATCACCATAAATCATCATGAATGCGATTTTTCTTGTTTTTTTTTTGGTTTGCTCCAACGGTCAGACATGTATTTATCATTGATTCCAGAAAGAAAATTATTATTTTTTTTTTTTAAACATTCTTCCTAGATCAGATTTCATCCGTGAACATCATACGCTGCACAAAAGTCCGCCACCATCAATGAATTCGAAGTAAAGGCAGAGATAGCAGCATTACCTAGCTACTTCCTATGACAAGACCCCTGTTCCAAGATGGCGGCGGTTTTGACGCATGCTTAGAACCCCCAGTTGAGGTCTAGTGTATATCTTCCATCAAAATAATTTTTGACGTGTGAGTGACACATTAAAAACTCAATACACTGCAAGACACATCGTTTTGTTGTTATTCGATTATATTTCGCATAAATATAATATAAATAATCTGATTGAGATCCACATTTAACGTCCATGTCACGTGACGCCCGCAGCCATTTACTTAGTGGCACCTGCAAACTTTCTCTACACTTTATTTAAAATGTCACGACATAAAAGTAGTAGTCACATCAATTGATAAAAAAAACACAACAAAAAAGTACTCATGTACAGGCACTACTTCATATTTAACGGCTCTGACGCCGCTTTACGGCCTAACGTGCCATGTTCACGTGATGTCACGGGTGCTTTTTGGCGGCAAATTGGTTGTTTTCGTCTTCTGAGGACGGTCGGTAACTGATGAACTCGCATTATGTTTTTCGGCTAAATGAAGAGTTTAACGCCACAGGCAGCCGATGAAATGAGCTACAAATAGGTAGGACTAAACTTTATTTACATGGGTGTGGTGTGTTAGAAAATTATCGCTATGATCTTGACTCGATCGTGCACGTGATGTGGAAAACCGTTCTCAGAAATTAAAATACAAAGAAAGTATTCTCATAACCTTAGATATGTGTGAGATTTTCAGTCTGGAAATATGTGACGACCAGATTTTTGTAAATGATTGTGTGACATACAAAGTCTAAATGACAGCCTAGACGAAAGTAGTTCGCCATTTTAACAGGCTTTTTATTTCCACTTGATGGATGTTGAACCTGTGTTGCTTTCATATATTCAGGCCTTTATCTATATGTTTTTTATTGATTGCTAGAATTGAAAGAAATTACACGTCCTGAGTCGAGTAACTTAACTTGGTGAACCGCGAGGTGGCGCTCGTGCACAGGAGATTTTTGTCAGTGATGACGTTGTTCAGCTGTAGTTTTTGAGTGTATTTTTCTCTTGTAACAGCATCACTCAGGAGATTTGTGCTTCTCAGGCCTCGTGTAGGATTTTTTTAGTTGCAGATGAGTGCTTATCGATTACCATATTTAACTCTTGAATGTTTAAATCCTATAGTTATCGTCCTAAACCTTATATGTGACGTCACACATTGGGTTTGTGCATGTGTTCTATAATTTTGTGATCATGACTACAATACAACCTTGTTTAATTTTAATTAAAATACATTTTGGAGAATATCTCATGCAAATGCGTGTGTGTGAACTTTGTGTATGTTAAAGTTGAGCACAGGGCTTTAAACAATAAGATACAGTTTACTTTATATCTTCTGTGGTATTTATTTATTTATTTATTTATTCATTTTTCAATATGGCTTTTATTTTAGATTCATGTTTAGCAGTGTTAAACTTTTTAAACATGAGCTATTTCAGGTTCATGAACTCCACGACCACAGATTGTGAAACCCCATCACAGTAAACCCATGTGACCCCATATTCAGTCAGCTTTGTGTGCAGCGAGGAACATGCTTTAACTTTTGTCCTCTAGAAACTTCAGAACCAAAGGCATTTTGATGTCAAACTTGGGACTGCATTCATGAAGTATAACATTAAAAAAAAAATATATATTTTTTTTTGTATTCCAAAAAGTACTTTTTAAGAATATCCTTATTAATATAAAAGTGAAGAATTCAAATTCTTGAAAAGAATATTCTTAACTATCATAAATCACTACTTAAAGTTAGTGTACTAACTTATCTTTAAGTCCTCCTGTAGCCAATGATTGTATCCCTTAAAACTCATCTTTAATCACCAAATGACATATTTAATGTTTTTCCTGCCTTTAAATATCTTAAATGTAACTCTACACCCTCAAGGACCTGCGCCTATACATGACCACGACACGTATCGGCAGAGATCGTGTCATCTCTCACTGATCCTAACAACCCCGTCCCATATCGGCGTAATGACTCTGGTCTTCATCCAGATGAACTGGGTAATATTCTGATTGTTCCAAACCAATCTGACCTCTGACCTGTAATGCTGCCTGAATCATAATCACACACTGTTCGTTCGTTGGCCAGAGAACTGAGACACTGAGTCTGGCTTCACCCAAGGCTTATTTCTCCATTCGGTCACTGATGGAGTTTTGGTTCTTCGTCTTCTTTTTCGCCTTTGTTGCCATTGGCTTAACTTGCTTAGTTGCAAACATTAAACTTAACATTTAATTAATTTAATATTCAACAATAACATTGATCTCCTGCATTGACACTATTACTTAAGAACTGATCTGAGGTGGATAATGACATCATCACAGTGTGCTTCAGAGTGGCTATATACATATATCTCTTAAGATTTGTTTTCATGATAATCGAATGTTAAGAGTTTTATCTCTAGCGTATAACGCTAGTATATGGGGCATAGAGAAATGAAAAATAAAAATCGCTAGTTAATACCACTAACAAGGTTCAAAATAGCCCCACACTAACACAGTAACTTTATGAGGTCCATACATGCAAACTGAAGCATTGAGAACTTTGTAATTGTACAGAGAGTTTAAGAAGATGTTTTATAAGACCATTTTGCAAGATGTAAACAACACTGGTCCAGAAGCACTTCCTGTTTCAGTTTGTAACTGTTTTCTTTATTTCACATGCAAAGAAAACATCTAAAAGATGTTTGTTTAACTTTTTGATTCAGTTTTATATTTCTGTTGGTTGTATTTCATCCCAGCTTTTATGTATAGTGTTAAAAAACTAAAACAGGAAGTGCTTCTGGACCAGTGTTTACATCTTGCAAAATGGTCTATACAGACAGGAGCCATATTTGGAAAACAGTCTCGACCAGTCGAACACGAACGCCGTTCATACAGTTCAGCTCACTTAGTTACCACGGCGTTCGTGGTTCGACTTATCACATTTTGAATTGAATATATTGTGTATTTCTAGTATCTATAGAACTATGAATCTGAATTAAGCACACATCACATCACCACAGCTTTAGTTAGGCATGTTCTGTGCATCTGCAGTCAACATCTGTATGAGAACAAGTCGCCGCAGCATTTCAAAAGAAAAGGAAAGGAATTGTGACGCATTAAAGGAGTAGTTCACTTTTTAAAAAAACCTTTGCTGATAATTTACTCGCCCCCATGTCATCCAAGATGTCCATGTCTTTCTTTCTTCAGTCGAAAAGAAAATTAAGGTATTTGATGAAAACATTCCAGGATTTTCTCCATATAATGGACTTCAATGGGGTCCAAACGGTCCAAATGAGAGTTTCAGTGCAAACTGTTCAAAGGGCTTTAAACGATTCCAGACGATGAATAAGGGTCTTATCAAGCGAAACGATCGCTCATTTAATTAATAAATAACAAAGTTTAAGTTTTATAAGCTCAAATGGTCGCCTTGCTCTGTTAGGGTTACGGTTAGGGTGTGATGCACGTTCGTGACTCCCCTTGTTCGAACTCATTTATCAAAATGAACAAATCTTTTCCAGAGTCAACTCGTTCATTTTGTTTGTTGACTGAACCAAATGACACGAAAAAAGATTCGTTTATTTTGATAAACGAGTTCGAACAGGACAGTCGCGAACTCGTATCACAGAACAGAGCAAGGCGAGCATTTGAGCTTATAAAATTTTTATTTGTTATTAATGTTTGAAATGACCAATTGTTTCGCTAGATAAGACCCTTATTCATCGTTTGAAATCGTTTAAAGCCCTTTGAACAGTTTGCAGTGAAACTGTCTTTTGGACCTTGAACCGTTTGGTCCCCATTGAAGTCCATTATATGGCGAAAATCCTGGAATGTTTTCATCAAAAACCTTAATTTCTTTTCGACTGAAAAAAGAAAGACATGGACATCTTGGATGACACGGGGGTGAGTAAATTATCAGCAAAAGTTTTTTTTAAAAGTGAACTACTCCTTTAAAAGTTCAGTGTTTAAAACTGCTTCAGATGTTTAGTCACGTCCTGTGTGTTCATCTGTAATATTCACCCTGACCAAGAGAGGCTGGGGCGTTTGAGTCTTTATTTAAAGACCTTTCACAGTGTGTGAAATGGTGAACCCACCAGCGATGATCATCATCATAACATGTGAAGACATTTTTTCCAGGAAGAGTTGCAACAATACTCGTGTACCAAAGTGGAAGTTCAGTGCAATAAAATTTAAATATATATCAGGAAGTATAGAGAGAAAAGTATTTATAAACCAAGTTATTCACAGTAGTTATTAGTCCATTCATATCTTTCACTCAAAATAAATACTTTCAGTCGCATCACTCCATACAAACACAGTCAAGACTTTACAGTGTGAACCACTGTATGTTTGAGCGTCAACATTATATATATATATATATATATATGAAGAGTTCAGATGCAAAAGCCTCTAAATGCCATTTGAAATTTTCTTCTTTAATGATGATTTTTTATCAAACTTGTATATTTAAGTTCAGTAATTTCACTTAAATAACAATTAATAGGTAATTATCATTGCCATTAAAGTGAAATCACTGAACTTAAATATACAAGCTTGATAAAAATTATCATTCTTGAAGAAAATTTCAAATGGCACTTAGAGGCTTTTGCATCTGAACTCTTCATATATATATATATATATATATATATATATACTGAACACCTGATTCTAAACCAATGATTTTTATGAAACAACACTGAATAAAACTGAGTAATTTAACAAGTCACTTAAAATCAAAACATCTAATCGAGTGATGAAAAAGACATGGTTGTCACAATCTTCAACACTCCTTCTTTACAAAAATCGAAAGTAAAATAATAAAGTGATATTTCATAATGTAATGACATTTAGATATTGAGAAATAATAAACACTTCAAGCTGCAGTTCTGAAAGTCAAAACCGAAAAATCAAATCCTCTTTCTAGTTTTATCTACATTTAACAATATTAAATTATAAATAAATTGTTAGTCTTAATACTTTAAATAACAACGCTACACATGGAGTCAAACGTTCAGACACATGCTTGTTGATAATCTGAAATAACACAACTGGAATTCTGGGAATGATGTGATCCAAACATGCAACAAATGAACACTCTTATATTTGAGCTTCTTTGTCTAGCTCTGCAAAGTTATTTTATTTTAGTTACTCGTTAGATAAAAAGGGGAACATAAATTGAGTTTTTGTGTCTGAATGTTTGACTGGTAGATCACATGTCTGAAACACTGCTGATAAACAACAACAAATAATAATAATAATCTGTCCACATCCTGTAAAAATGATGTCGAATCATCAGATCCTTTCTCCCTCATCAACATCGCGTGTTCTCATACTCATATGACTGATGACTCTTATGATATTGCACATTTCATATACTGTAAATATCTGGTATATTTTGGAATATTTCTCAAAAATTCCAGGTCACATTATGATTGATTCATCAGTGCAAATTACTGTAAATACCAAAATCTTTATAATCTTTCATCAAAATGTTAGAATAAAAATATATATATATATTATTAACAAGCATATTGCCAATTTTTAAGCTGAACAATGGCACTTGTGAAACTATCTCTATTATACGGAAGCGCATTGCATTCAGTTGAAGTTAATGAGTTTTTGATACAATTAAGTCATTAATTCAGAAAAACAGAGCAACTTTTTTCCATGATAAATTATCTTGTGCTTCTAAGATAATTACCTCATTAAATCAGAAAAACATTAGATTTTTTTTCTTCAACTGAATGCAATTTGCTTCTGTAATCCGTACTATTCTATAAATCGCTTTAGAAACGTCAGGGTCAGATAACGCTTTCAAAAGTCTAAAACAGGAAGTGACATCACTACGAGCAGAAGTAACCCTACAGGAGTGATCCGGCGAGCGTTGGACCGGCTCAAGCCAAGCTGGTATCGAACAACGGTCCTGTTAAAGCCGTCCTCTGAAGACTCGCACGTGTACGACCCCTCGTGAGCCGCGTCCATGCTCTCGATGAGGTACAAACAGCCCTGATCCGAGAGCACACACTCCTCACGCGTGTTCCCGCGGTGCCAGTGGTACGAGGCGTGACGTGATGTCATCGGGCAGGGCAGGAAGTGTCTGGAGGACGCCGGGACACGAACCACTGGCGTCTCGCTGCTGAACTCGCTCTTTGATGGTTCGGCTAAAGGCCTGTCTGCGGGACAGATGGTCATGTGATTTTACTTGTTGAATTGACATTTAAATGGATATTTCTGAAAACATCTCACTCTTACAAAAAATCTAGATAGCAATCCCAGATTACACCACAGATAATATCATGAAGCGTGTTGATTTATTAATTAACATTAGAAGAAATGGTTAAACTAAATGTTTTATTTGACTCATTATTGTGGTGTTAGTACGTCAAACTCAAATTTAGGGTTTCCCATGAAATTAGAATCGAGAATTGTTGAATTTCGCTGGTATCTATCTATAATTGTGCGCAGTGTTGGGTAAGTTATTCTAAAAAAGTAATTAATTACTAGTTACTAATTACCTCTTCAACAGTGTAATTAGATTTACACTGTATTTAGTATTTAATTACTTTTAATTACTTTCAAAATCCCATTTCAATCTCAACCAGCTGAATAATACAAGGATAGACATGAATCTGTTTTAATTCTTTCAAATAAATACTAAAAAATTGCATGAATTATCCTTAAACTGACCAAGGTGGAGAAGGTTACATACTTTTTAGCATCAGACAATACATTTTGACGTTAAACCCAATATCGTTTTATGTCTGATCACACTTTTTTCATACATTTTTTACAATAATTCATATGAATTTGTACGAGTGCGGTCGTAATATTTAGACACCTCATCAAATGCATACGAATCTCTGTGAGATCAGATTGATCTATACACAGTATTTACCTCAATTACATCAGAAGTAGCTGTAATTAAATTCCAGATAAATGAAGAGTAATCCCTTACTTTACATTTTCAAGGGAAAAGTAATTAAATTACAGTAACTAATTACTTAGTAATCACTCGGATACATTTTTTTTATTCATTCTTAATTTTCTTTAGTGGTGGGAGCCAGTGAAAAATGAATGAATTGAGATCTTGTGAATCGATACCAATCCCCAGCCCTAATGATTAGCATAAAACACTGGATTAGCTGTGATGTCGACCACCGTAGCGAACCCTACACTGCATGTGGAAGGTGGGTTAGTTGAGTTAATTTGAAATTCGTTTAAAGGTGAAAGCGACTCATCAAATGTCATTCGGTACCAATCACACAGAAGAAAAAACCCAGAGTCACACTTACTGCAATCGTACGGGTCTTTGATTAGGCCTCTGTGGAAAACAAGACATGTGACGTCACTGACACTTCCCATACAAATTTTATACGCAGACTTGTTAAATGATGCATTGTGGGTTTCAGTTGTGTGTGTGGGGGAGGGAGAGTTGTGTTCAGTAGGAAATACAGAAATGAGTAAAAAAAAAAAATTGTGTTGGCAGAGTAGGTAAAGCGATGCAAAGAGGTGTTTTTTCAGTGGTTATAATGTGGTTTCTGAATGATTCAGCATCACTTGATCTTCAGAGAAGCAAGACTGGCATCATTATCAAGTGCTCACAATGATTTGAACAAACCTCAAAAACTAAGTATGAAACTTGAGTGTGTAACTCTCTAAGATCAGAGAGACTTAACCCACCGCACAACCAGCCAGAGCGCTGAAACATTTCTCTCAATATATGAACAGACTGCTATGAGCGTTATTAGCGGGGGCTTTAAGGTTGCGGCTCATGCTAAAAAAGAAGGAAGGAAGCAGGCTTGCTTGTGTGGGTGTGTGTGTGTGTGTGTGGGTGTGTGTGTGTGGCTTACTTTACTTTGGATGTGCAATGCAAACCGTTCCAACCACAGTAGGGGTCTCGAGATAACATGCATTCAGTACACTCATCACCGTACACACTACATGCCAGCAGGTCGATCTGCACAACCTCATTACTGGAACTCACGAACAGACGCTTCTGAGAAATTAAACACTGCATACATTAGTAACTAAATTACGAAACTCTTCATATGTCTCCTAGAGATGCAACGATATGAACATTTAGGCTGATAACTGAGAATTCGTCATATTTTAAAAAGCCAATAACCGATAAATCTAATTCTAAATCCAAATTTTATATAATTTTTGAGGGCCTGATTACAAAAACAAAAGCCTCACCATTAACAGCCAGGTCCCCCAAAACACATAATGTTCTCATGATGGTTTTTACGTAGGTTATATGGCAAACTTTTATTTCCATATTTTCATTTTTGAAGTGATTCCAATCATATTTCATGCAATTTAAAAGCATCAGCTTTCTCTCATCAGACCGATAACATTAAAAATCAACATGTCGATATGGTGGCCGATATATTGTGCATCCCTAGAATCTACATCTTCAGAGTAATTAAAAGCAAAATAAATCAACATAAATAACTATATTTCAAAGCATAAGATGTTCGCACATCACATATACGGTATAATAACAATCCAAAGCGACGTGCATTGCATCCAGAAAATGCATTTGATCAGATCATGCATCACATGACTGGTGTTCTGCTGCGAGACTGTCGTCATGCTCATCTTCTCTTAGTTTAGCATGCATCTGGGTGCTTATGTCATGTCATTATGTGGGAGTGAACGTTATTTGTGTCGTACCTTAGAAGTGTCCAGAAGCATGCCGGTGATGTGTGTCCCGTGTGGAAACGGCAGATACTCCGCGATCACAAAAACAGGCTTTTCACGGACTTTGTGGACGCCTCCACTTTCTGTGAGAAAATAAGAAAACTTTCCGATAACAACAGGACAAATAACTAATCTGTGGAAGCTTGTTTCCGCCACAGAATGAAAAATAAACGTAAAGGTAATTGCGAGTTTTTATCTCACAATTATGTTTTTTTTTTCTCACAATTGCGAGTTTACATCTCCCAATTCTGACTTTATTTCTCAGAATTGCAAGATATAGTCGCAATTGCGTGTTATAAAGTCAGAATTGCATGACAAAGTCAAAATTTCTTGATATAAAGTCACAATTGCGTGTTATAAAGTCACAATTGCCAGATATAAAGTAAGAATTGCGTGATATAAAGTCACAATTGCCAGATATAAAGTCACAATTGTGTGATATAAAGTCACAATTGTGTGTTATAAAGTCAGAATTGCGTGATATAAAGTCACAATTGCCAGATATAAAGTCACAATTGTGTGTTATAAAGTCAGAATTGTGTGATATAGTCGCAATTGCGCAATTCTGACTTTATTACACGCAATTGTGAGATAAAAAGTCGCAATTATTTAAAAAATTTGTGTTACAAAATCAGAATTGCGTGATATAAAGTTGCAACTTGCAATTGTGTTATAAATTCGGAATTGCGTGATATAAAGTGACAATTTTGTGTTACAAAATCAGAATTGCGAGTTATGAAGTCAGAATTGTGTGATATAAAGTTGCAATTCAGTGGCGGAAACAAGCTTCCATGATTTTGTGTATGACTTTGATTCACATGAAACACATTATTTTAAGTCACTGAGTGAGTGGTCACACACACTGAGTTGCAGAAACACTGAGCGGTTTTCAGTGTGAATGCCAAGAAAAACACACAAAACGCATCTAAAACGAGAAAGAGATTTTGAGATTGGTAAGAAATCTGAGGTATATTTTTTAGGGCTGGGTATTGAGACAAATTTCACAATTCGATTCAATTTCGATTCACAAGCTTGCAATTCGATTCAATTTCGTTTAAGATTCGATTCAAGATTATTTTGGATATCAGTTACAATAAATGGCCATTTTTCTCAAGGGAATCAAATCTCTCAACTAATGCTGTAAACTATGGGAGTCTAGCTGTAGCCTATAGACTTCATTAGCCTAATATGAAGGTAATAATGAACTGTTTTGTGGCTATACAAACACTTAAATTACACTTTTATTTATTTTTATAATAAGAAGATTATATGAAATATAAACATTTAAATGGTGGCTGTCATAAAAACTTGCCAGATTTATCCAAATATGCATTAAATATTGAAGAACATTAAGATTATAATGCATATGTAATATGGTGTATATATTTAGCAAAATGCTCCTCTCTAGAGTTATATTTTTCTAACTGACTAACGAGTTTATGTGGGTTTTCTGAGGTAAATGACGATACATGACATTGATTACAAGCTGTTTCACTGACGTCTTTCCATGGTTGAAACGCTGATTGAGCGAATCAATGTGACATGATCCGGATTTGGATAAGTTGTACTCTATCTTTAACACACTTTCAGATGCTCATTCATGTTTATTTGGCGCTGTGACTGGTATTATTAACCCGGAAGAGAGATCAGCGCTGCTGCTTCTCCAGAGCGATCTCACGCCACAGCGACAAAACACTATTTATGTTTTTGAATTTCTTAAGAAAATGGACGTAATTTGAAAATTGAGACTTTGTTTTATATCAATAGTAACAAAGGACAAAGATTATTGCGATTTTTTTTTTTTTTTTTTTTTTTTTTTTTTAAAAGCCACATTGTAGCCACGATACAATGTTCCATTCATTCAAACGAAACAGGATGATTAATCGATTCTTGAGATTTAAGAATCGATATCAGTTCGTAAAAATGAGAATCGATTAATATCGAGAAATCGATATTTATTACCGAGCCCTAATATTTTTACAGAGTGCCGAAATCTACAGAACAGAGACTCAAATGGACCCTCGATTCACAGAAACTATGACTCCAGGCAGAGAACAGTGGATTACAGTTTCCATTGTGTGTCGATATGCTGAATTATGGGTAAAATCACACCCTATATATTGTATTGGCAACACCTCAGTTAAATATGTACCATCGTATATTCTGCATAATTGGACGTTTTTAAATAAACACTGACACAGACGACACCAGTTTTAGAGCTGGCTGATATGATGATATATAACCGTGATATGAGTGATCATGGATTTACACTATATTGTGTTTATATAAAGCGTTCACAGGCAAATTTGCTTCATGTTTTACCCCTGCGTGGAAATCAGGCTCATATAAACGTGAGGAAACACGATTCCTGCCGCATGTCGATATCCACGATCAGCGGATGGATCTCGGGTCAGTCGTGAGAAACACTATACGGAGTCCAAGCTTGATAATCGTTTGTTTTACAAAAGTTTCCTCTATTAAATCCAGTACGGCTGAGACATCGATGCATAACCTGTATAAAATCCACTACTCACTAGGGTTTGAACTATTACAGTAGATTGCATCATTTGATAAGTCATACTACACTCCTCACACACTTATTCATTCAGGCTCAGAACGCCACATTATCAATGATTCAATACATTTTCTAGCAATTACATGTCCATGCCTTTTCCTGTAACTGCTGGTCATTTATAAATGTGAAACGGATATGAGATTAAATCAACATAATAAAACCGCACCTACAACATATTTATCTGCTTATGTGACACTGAACAGGATGTTGAACGAGACGCATGTCATAAAAACAAACAGACTAATGACTCGTGAGTCAAACCATCTTAAAGTCCCTCTTTAGTCAATCATTTAAAACTCATCTTTGATCACTAAAATTACACGTTTTTTCCTTCTATAACTCGACACCCTTGCCTCATTTAGTATGTGTAGTTCTATGAATATGCAAATGAGCCCCGCCTCCACTCACTCACTCACTGGTTGACGATCACACGTTGATCTGATTGGTTACAAGGTGGTTTGTGACGTCAGAAACACCAGCGTGTTTTTGAGACTGTCTTTGGTTCACTGCAGTTTTAAGGAGGAAATACTCAGTCCACTTATCAACTTACAGGCTTTTTATTTGAGAAAGTCTTCTTATACAGGCGTACTGAACCATATTTGTGGGCGTTCTGTATGTGGAAATGATGCGCTGGAATTTTAAGATAAGCTGTGAATAATAAAGAGGAATGCATACTAAAGTTGTATATATCGTTCATGAGAATATTTCGGAAACTTCTTTAGTATAATTGAGGACTTGTATAAACTGCTTAAAAGTTAGTCATCTATTTTTCCTTCAAAACTGGTCCTTAATTTGAAAAGCCAGTTACATAAAAAGTAGATCGGTCTAATTTGAATTGTAAAAGAAAGAAAAGTTAGTGTCTAACTGCTAGTTGGTCAATCTAGTTCTTAAAGGGATAGTTCACTTTGAACTTAATTTTTGATATGTTTTATCTTACCTCAAGGGCATCCAAGATGTAGGTGTCTTTGTTTCCGCAGCATTTTCAATTTTGATATTTTTAAGTCAAACCGTTGTTTGTCAGTCATATAATGGAGGTCTATGGTCACCACCTCAAAGAGCAGCACTGAGAAGTCCAGAATAAACACGATTTAATGACTCGTAAATGTAAGTACACATTTATCGCCTAAGACACAAAACGAGCGGTTTGTGTGAGAAAACTAACAGTATTTATATCGTTTTTACATCTTGTAACCACAGCCACATCCAAGTGATCTGAGGGCGCGGGTGCTTCGTGGCTGTGGTTACAAGAGGTAAAAATGATATAAATACTGTTGGTTTTCTCACACAAACTGCTCGTTTCGTGTCTTAGGCCATCAATGTGTACTTACGTTTACGACTCATTAAATCATGTTTAATTTGGACATCTCTATGCATGCTCTTTGAGGTGGTGACCATAGACCTCCATTATATAACTGACAGACAACAACGGTTTGACCTAAATATATCAAAATTGAAAATACTGCGAAAACAAAGACGCCTACATCTTGTATGCCCTTGAGGAAAGCTAAAACATATCAAAAATTAAGTTCAATTTAAAGTGAACTATCCCTTTAAGAAGTGGTCTAAGTTCATGCAGCTGAATGGTTAAGGTTCCCGTCTTCAGTGACAGATTCACGTACCGAGAGACAGAAGCAGGACCGTGTCGTGTTGCTCTCGGTCCACCTGGATGTGTGTGTAATGGCGGTGTGTAAACAGCAGGGGTCCGTTCTCTGGCATCACCCGATCCCTCATCTCGGGACGCCCCGACATGAACTTCAGGATCTCCGGGCTTAGACCAGCGCTGTTAGGGACACACTAAAACAACGACGAGATGTTGGTTAGAAGGAAAGGGAAACAGTCGGATCTCTATCAAGAGTTGAAGTGATGATATAAAAGCCCAGACTGACTGGATTACATCATTCGGTTTATGAGACGTGTAGTTCAAACATTACCCTCACAAAGTACACAAAGTAAATGACGCATAGCATACTCTGTTTGCTGAAGACGAAAGGCGGATATTGCTGAGCTGCATGAAGGATAATATTATGGAAGCTTGTTTGTTATGAATTGCTTTATATCTCTTAATTCTGAGTCTATAATACACAATTGCACTTTATTTCACACAATTCTGACTTTTTTAACACAATTGCAACTTTATCTCGCATTAATTTATTTTTATCTCGCAATTCTGATTTTGTAACACAAAATTGTCACTTTATATCACGCAATTCTGAATTTATAACACAATTGCAAGTTGCAACTTTATATCATGCAATTCTGATTTTATAACACACAATTGCAACTTTATATCCCGCAATTCTGACTTAACACACAATTGCTTTATATCTTATAATTCTGACGTTATAACACACAATTGCAACTTTATATCACACAATTCTGACTTCATAACTCGCAATTCTGATTTTGTAACACAAAATTGTCACTTTATATCACGCAATTCTGAATTTATAACACAATTGCAAGTTGCAACTTTATATCACGCAATTCTGATTTTGTAACACAAAATTGCTTTATATCTTAAAATTATATCTTAAAATCGACTTTATAACACACAATAGCAACTTTATATCACACAATTCTGATTTTGTAACACAAAATTGTCACTTTATATCACGCAATTCTGAATTTATAACACAATTGCAAGTTGCAACTTTATATCACGCTATTCTGACTTTAAACACACAATTGCTTTATATCTTATAATTCTGACTTTATAACACACAATTGCAACTTTATATCACGCAATTCTGATTTTGTAACACAATTGCAAGTTGCAACTTTATATCACGCAATTCTGATTTTGTAACACAAAATTGTCACTTTATATCACGCAATTCTGAATTTATAACACAATTGAAAGTTGCAATATCATGCAATTCTGATTTTATAACACACAATTGCAACTTTATATCCCGCAATTCTGACTTAACACACAATTATTTTATATCTAATAAAAATTCTGACTTTATAACGCACAATTGCAACTTTGTCACACAATTCTGACTTCATAACTCGCAATTCTGATTTTGTAACACAAAATTGTCACTATATCACGCAATTCTGAATTTATAACACAAAATTGCAAGTTGCAACTTTATATCACGCAATTCTGATTTTGTAACACAAAATTGCTTTATATCTTATAATTCTGACTTTATAACACACAATTGCAACTTTATATCACGCAATTCTGATTTTGTAACACACAATTGCAACTTTATATCACACAATTCTGACTTCATAACGCGCAATTGCGACGATATAAAAAGTCGCAGTTACCCTTTTTTTTTATTCTGTGGTGGAAACAAGCTTCCATAAAATATTAGTACAAGCCAAAGTTATTGTATAGATGTTATTGTATAAATTCTAGATGTTAATGTTAATAATCCTCTAATATCTTATGCCTTATGGCAGACTACAGTTTGGCGATAATCTAGTTCTCAGTTAGTGATTTCCACAAGCGGTAAAGCAGCGACGGCATGTTCTCACCGTTCCGGGCCGGTGACCCGCAAAGTCGGCGGTGGAGCTGAACGCGGAGGAACTGAAGATACTGCTGATTTTAGTCATGTTATAAACACACACAGCACTCATGTTCCTGTAAATTGAGAAACAAAAAGAGAAGTTGTGTGAAGTGTGAAGCTCTGTGTTTGGGAAACGACAGACAACATGTAAACCATCTAATCCGCAGGATCATGTGACTCGGCGTCAGTCATGTTGGCATTTTACACTGATGTGAATCTATTTGATGTTGATTCGTTTGGATATATTTAATGCAAACGCTCCTCTCTAGAGTCATTATTTAGTATATAGTCAGTGAATGTGCTGTTCTACTTCAGTAAGTTGTTCTGTATCTTTCAACATCCCTTACAGTAGTAAAGAGGAAGAGATGATCGGTCACGCCACATTGTGTCTGCCTTACCAATAGTTTCTGAAAAGCGCATATATTTTGATGTCGTCGTTTGTTTGTAGCGTGGCCACATCTATCAGCTGACTGAAGTCATGACCTCTCCCACAGGACAGCTGGGCGTAGATCATCGAGGTCCAGCTGTTCTGAAGGTGAGCCTTCGGACCTCCACGGTCATTCTGAAACGCATCGACTCGGGTCAGTGCACGTAAAGGGCTCATCGGATACCAAATTCACTTTTATATAGAGTTTGCATTTAAATGTGTTTGCAGTGTGAGGACACAGCCACCAAACAATGAAGAAGTCCAGTCACTTATTTATTTTAATCCTCAAAAAGCCTAAACACTCTCAGTAATCCAGCCGTTTGGATTTTCAGAGCAATATGATGTCATATTGCTCATGCTCCGCCCACGACCACTGATGGACTGTCCCGTATTAGCATATTTCCCTTATTACCATATTTCCCATGTTAGCATATTTCCGACAAGGCATCACTTTACATGTCTTGTCACCGCAGTTTATCATTTAAAGAGACATGCACCACATTATCATTTAAAGAGACATGCACCTCATTATCATTTAAAGAGACATGCACCTCATTATCATTTAAAGAGACATGCACCACATTATCATTTAAAGAGACATGCACCTCATTATTTAAAAAGACATGCACCACATTATCATTTAAAGAGACATGCACCTCATTATCATTTAAAGAGACATGCACCTTATTATTATTTAAAGAGACATGCACCTCATTATTTAAAAAGACATGCACCACATTATAATTTAAAGAGACATGCACCTCATTATCATTTAAAGAGACATGCACCTCATTATCATTTAAAGATACATGCACCTCATCATTTAAAGAGACATGCATCTCATTATTTAAAGAGACATGCACCTCATTATCATTTAAAGAGACATGCACCTCATTATCATTTAAAGAGACATGCACCTCATTATCATTTAAAGAGACATGCACCTCATTATCATTTAAAGATACATGCACCTCATCATTTAAAGAGACATGCATCTCATTATTTAAAGAGACATGCACCTCATTATTTAAAGAGACATACACCTCATTATCATTTAAAGAGACATGCACCTCATTATCATTTAAAGAGACATGCACCTCATTATCATTTAAAGATGCATGGACCTCATTATTTAAAGAGAAATGCGCCTCATTATTTAAAGAGACATGCGCCTTATTATTTAAAAAGACATGCACCGAAACGGGTCGCTGTGAACAGAGCTGTTTTTTAGGAGGTAAAAAGGCTGTTGTTTTACACAAACATTGAGGGATTTTAACCACAGTATGTTACAAACTTTACATGATGACCCTAAAGAAACACACCAACATATGGAAAATGGGCATCCGATGACCCCTTTAATGAAGTTTTTAAGGTGTTTGTTGTCCTTTGTGTGTCTACACTGTACATAAAAAGCAATATGAACATTCAGCTAAATATCGGTTGTGTTGCACAAAAGAAAGTTAAATGCGTTTGGACTGATGAGAGTGAGTAAATTATTACAACAATAAAATAAGCTCTGCATGTTATTTTGCATCAACCTGCGATTGCAAAAAGTTACAAAATATTTCTCAAATGATCTAATGCGATCAAAGAAAATTGAAACAAGGACAATCTACAGCAATATCCTGATTTCATACAGAACCAGATTTGATGTTCAGTCAATGCTTTCATAATTGCAAAGATTCTGAGACATTTTCTGGTTAATTTCTTTCATGCATGCATATATTCAAAACTCTGACATGAACACTAGACGTGTCATTCGCACCTGTGTTTATAATTATAGAACATTTCCCTTCCCTGTGAGTTACTGAGAAACATCTTTATTAATATTAAAATCTATTAAAATAGGTGAAAGAATGCAGAAGGAAATGCAGACAGTTCTGTGCAAGATGCAACACCATCAGGCTGTTTACTGACTGATATACAGTATATGAGATAATATCTTATATACTCTACCAGTCAAAGGTTTTGGATCAGTAAGAGTTTTAATGCTTTTAAAAGAAGTCTGTTCTGCTCGCCAAGGCTACATTTATTTGATTAAAAATACAGAATAAAACAGTATTATTGTGAAATATTATTACAATTTAAAACAGCTGTTCAAATGCAATTTATTCCTGTGCTGAATTTTACAAATGATTAAAATTCAAAGAAATACTGTTGTTTTGAACTTTCTATTAAATCAAAGAATCCTGGAAAAAAAAATTACATGACTGTTCTGATAATAATCATGAATGTTTTTTTAAGCATCAAATCATATTAGAGTGATTTCTGAAGGACCATGTGACACTGAAGACTGGAGTAATGATGCTGAACATTCAGCTTTGATCATTGGAATAAATTATATTTTAAAATACATTAAAATTGTTATTTTAAATTGTCATAATATTTAACAAAATTACTGTTGTTTTTGTGTGTGTGTGGTATTTGTAATCAAACAAATGCAGCATTGGTGAGCAGAAGAGACTCAATTTAACTCAGAAAGTCAATTTAAATTGCATTACGTCTGCATTGTTCAGGGACAGACAGATGTCACTGCGCGGTTTCTTTAGATTTTATGTTAAAGGGATAGTCCCATCAAAAATAATTTTGTCATTATTTACTCACCCGCATATCTTTCTAAATTTGAATGACTATCTTTCCTCTGCAGAACACAAAAGGAGACGTTTTTAGGAGTGTCACGTAAATCTGATGATGATTAGGGCCCATTGTTAGTTTTGGATCATCTCGACGCTCCTTTTATAGACAAATTATATTTTTCAAAATCTTTTGTTTTCCACATAAATCATACAAGTTTGGAACGACTTTAGCATGAGTAAATAATGACTGTTTTAATTTATGGGTGGAGTTTCAATTAGATAAAGTTAGTAAGAATGAACGTGACCTACAAAAACGTGTGTGTGAAAATGATAGGCTTGGACTTGGTGCTTGACCCAGTCTCGAGTCGCACGGGTTTATCTGTGGTAATAGCCAACAATACATTTTTTGGCTCAAAATTATTGATTTTACTTGTATGCCAAAAATCATTAGGATATTGAGTTGTTGTTCCATGAAAATATTTTGTAAATTTCCAACCGTAAATATGTAAAAAAATATATTTTTGTGAGTGGATGCAGCAAAATCGCGACCATAAAATGCACAACTTTAAAGGTGATTATTTTTTTTTTATTTTTTTGCAAATCTCGGCCAAATATTGTCCTTTATTCAGCTTTCAAACGATGCGTTAATCTCAATTTCAGCTTGGTTTTTCTGACTGGTTTTCTGGTCCAGGGTCACACGTCTGCTGTACAACACAATCACACACAAATAAAACAAGATCTGTGTGTTTCTGCTCACCTTGCAGCTCTGAGAGACTCGAGGGATCCACTGCTCCGATTCGCCATCTTTACTTTTTTGTTTCTCGGCGAAGAAGGAATAAACTTTGTCCTGGTGTTTGCCTTCACCAGCGACCAGCTTCAAGTACTTTTGCTCTAAATGTTACACGAGAAAAAAACAGTTTTCAGAACCGTTTTCAGAATGAAACTCATTTCAGTGAGAAAGTGAAATGAAACGGTTTAGATATGAGTAGTATTGCGTTTAATCCGATTTCTCACCCAGTTGAGTCGACTGAGACCAAATGTTGTACATTTTGTCCTTGTTTACCCTGTACAATCCCATCGCAGACGTAGTGAAGTACAGCATATCATCTGAAAGGTAAAATAAAGACCGAACATGGACGTCACGTGTAGCATAATGCATTTGCATTACTGTTGCTAGTCAATCATATTGACCTTAGTCAGGGCAATGTCATATTATATGTTTACCAGAATAAAAATGAGACGTGCAGTTTGTACAGTTAAAACCAGTTTGGAAGTTGAGAGTTGTGTGAAAACGATCTTGGACCTTTATACAGTTCATGTTACTTGATCATTTGAAGCTCCAAAAAGTGAATCAATCCATCATAAAAGTAATTCCAGTGGCCCTGAAGGCCTTCTGAAGCAATGCAATGGGTTTTTACAAGAAAAATATCCATATTTAAAACTTTATAAGCTATTAAAACCCATGGCTTTGCTTCAGAAGGCCTTTATTAGCCCACTGGAGTTGTGTGGATTACTGTTATGATGGATTGATTCATTTTTTGGAGCTTCAAAAACTCCATTCAATGTCATTACTGGGAAGACCCGGCCGGGATATTATTTAATATAACTCAGATTGTGTTCGGCTGAAAGAAGAAAATTTTTTGGGTGAAACACCAAGTATTAAACTTCAGTGAGGAACTCAAACCAAAAGTCTCATAAATGAAGAGACTCCAGTAAATGTACCAGTAAGAAACCACAGAGCCATGACGTCACAAACGGCCTTGTAACCAATCAGATCAACGTGTGATCGTCAACCAGTGAGTGAGTGAGTGGAGGCGGGGCTCATTTGCATATTCATAGAACCGCTAAATGAGGCGAGGGCGTCAAGTTACATTCAAAATATTTTAAGCCATGAGGATTTTTTTTTTCATTTTTTTTCAAAATGTTCAAAAACATTTTTTTCCAATGAAAAAATGTTGAAATATGTCATTTTGGTGATGAAGGGATACAATTGTCGATTACAAAAGGACTTTAAGAATATCTTGCGCTACGTGATGCATCAAAATTTCCAAATCTTGTAGTGTGTGCAGCAGGTTTGAGATTTGTAAGAAAATGTGTTCCCCTTTTGTGCTTGATGCAACCAGATTTAACAATCAGTTACGATTTAAGGTTAAGACCGCACAGACCAAACCATCACATCTCATTCATTCCTATTGGCTAAACAAGTAATTCACGGATAACCAATCAAATGTCAACATCCATCTGTCAGATCTATATATGGAGACAAACTAGACATGGAAATCTTCAGTTCCTCTCTCATTTCCTCTCACAAAGTATGGTGAAGCAAACAAATGTGCTGAAATACCAATTTCTTCTAATGACACTGTAGTTTAACCAAACGTGAGCATTTTGAACATTTTAAAAACTGTATGACTTTCCAGGGATATTTATAGCAAAATGTCCAATCCGTTCTTTCTATTTTCAGTGAATAACAATTTAGTGTGTTCATCAAAATGACTGCACTATACTTGTAATATCGTTTGACCTGCTTTACACTTTTATGGTGCGTTTTTGTTGTTTTTCATAGATTATGGAACAGCAGCATGAACATTCTTCTAAACTTCTCCATTTGTTTGGAACGTATATCCAATATTTTTAATCGTAGGGTAACATAATATCCATCAACCTTCCTGTTAGTTTTCCAGTATATGCACTCTTAGAAGAAATGGTTCTATTTAGAACCAGAAATGGTTCCATCCCCCGCTTCATATATGGAACTCCAAAATGGTTCTATATAAAACCATTTTTTTGGTAAAAGGTTCTATTGGCCAAGTATGGAACCCCAGGGTTCTATATAGAACCCAGAGGAACTCTTTTTTTTTAATAGTGTATAGAACCTTTTAAGGGTTCCAAATACGTAGCGCTGATAGAACCTTTTAAGGTTCTATATAGAACCTTTTCTTCTAAGAGTGTGAGTTGAACATTGACAGTTAGTTATAAGTATTATCAGCAATAAATGCTATCATATGCAAATGCATGCAAGTTGCAGCATGAGCTTCAGTAACAGAACAGCGTTTCAACACGTCGGCGGTTTCCTGAAGCTCTGCTAGAACAAACACGCAACCCTGTGTGAAATCATATTGGAACGCTATTTCATAATAAGCTTCTATACTGAAGATTTAGTGCCTTGATATACTTTCCTCAACACTGAACAATGGAGGACAGGCCAGGGCTGGAGCAGAAGGGAAAGTGGGGGTGTTTGAGAACCAAACCAAGCACAATCCCTCTTTTATTTACACTTAATAATAACCACACAGTGGTCAGCATTGTGCCAAGCAATGAACAAGACATTTGGTTGTGAAGAATCTGAGTGGGTGTTCATGCAGAAGCATTTAAGGTGAAACCAGCCCATCAATAGCACAAATATTCAACACGATATGAATGATCATTATTGTTGCAATTCTTATCAGTGGCGACTCAAACCAATGCAAGCTTACTACGTGCAAGGATACAAACGCATACACCAATACTCAACCCAGTGTGTAATACTCACCAACAAGTAATGACGGCTCAGTAATAATTGGCTTATAATTTTCTAATTCGAAGCAGCCAGTCAGGGAATAACTGGAAGTCTGGAACAAAACAGATTATTCTCAGCTTCATACGTTCACACCAGTTTAACAAGCATCCAGTAAAAACAGGACGTACCAAGTTACAGCACTTTGTAGTTTCCTTAGTAGATCCGCAGAAGAACAGATTTCCATCAGCGCCCTGACTGAGCAGAGAGAGCCTGTACGGACACTCCTGAAAAATCAACAGTGGTTAGTGGCCTTTAATGCGACAGAAAACACCAGAAGCTCCTGAAACAACATTGAGAATGTTTACGTTAATGTTCGATTTTGCATAATAAAATGTGAGTGGTCGTTAATTGGAGTATTATAGAAATGTTTTCTATATAAAGAGGACGAAACAAGTCTTACAACCCAGCAAGAAGATCATGTTTACATTGAAACCAGTGGTTTTAAAACTAAAAATGGAATAAGCATATTGGTAAATACCAGAGTCTAGGGATGCACGATATATCGGCCACATTGGCCGATGTTATCGTTATCAGCCCAACAAGAAGATTTAACCCATATCTAAAAGCCGATAAATAATGTATTATTTCCTTCAGCTGAGGCACTTTAGATATGCACTGTTCAACATGATGCTTTTAAATCGCTTGAAATACGATTGAAATCACTTTAAAAAAGGAAAATCCAGTTAAAGTGCAAAATGTGCATCGCAAGTCTGTCATATCGGCTACACAACATTAAAATAAGAACATCATAATTGTGTTTGTATCTTGGCTTTTAATGAGGAGAATCAAAAATTGCCTAAAAATTTGGATTTAGATTTATAGGCCAAAATATCGGTTCATCGGCTTTCAAATATAAAGAATTATCGGTTATCGGTATCGGCCAAAATTGTGTAAATTCTTCTTAACACTTACTGAATTGTCTGGATCTCTTCCATCATCACAGAGACTCACGTTTACCTAAAGGATCCAAACAGACATGAAGTCTATTACTGTAAACATGTTACAAGACACTAGACAAACATGACCTTCAAACTTGCTAATCATGTCAAACTTGCGATTCTCTCCAGCCATAAACTCTTAATAAGAACAAAGTATTTGAATTTAATTTCAATGTTTCGCATCAGAGCAGGTTACATACGGTTTTGCATAATCGTTTAAAGTAAAATATCTTCTGTCTCTATAAGGTACCAGTTTGGGTTTGAAGTCTTGTGCTGGTTTGATGGAATAAAGGGTCTCGTTTCTTCCCATCCAGATGACGCCACTGGAGACCAGCTTAACCAAACCACTATAGTGGTTTCCAAAAGAAAACCTGGTTATACCTGCAAGAGTGAGAGATATAATATCTAAGAAGTGTGCATTCAGTTTAATAATGCACAACACTAGGGTTGCATTGCCCAAAAGCATCATTAGCTAAACTAATGTAGTTGCAAGTTAGTTGGCTCCAGGAAACACAGCCCTGAGGTGTTTGTGGGTAATTACCAAAGAGTTCATGAGAATACGTGTGAACATGAAGTGAGGCTTTGACCATGAAAATGTGAATATTTGATTATTAAATATTAGATTTGGATAGGCTATAAAACACCCGTCCATGTAATATATTTTTCAAACTATTTAAACTCCCCCTTTCGTGAAAAAATCAAGCGTTTAATGTTGTTTATGTGTCTATGTGGTGTTTTCAATCCGCTTTAACACACACCGTGTGTAAGTTGATAAGTGGACAGCATTGCTGAGTATTTCCTCCTTAAAACTGCAGTGAACCAAAGACAGTCTCAAAAACCAGACTAATCTCATGAAGTAGCGTGTGTATGACACGCCAATTCGTATTTCCATTTTTGGCGTGCCATCAAGACGCATAATCGCTTTTCAGCGTGTTTATGAACGCTGTTGATTTAACATTATTACTGTGTATATATAAATCAGTCCCTCCAAAAAAACGCGATTATGCGATCGCTGAATTCAATGCAAAATCAGCCAAAGTCCGCATATTTATGCGGGGGCCGCATTTTTTCAAATACGCCGCACTTTCGCCGCATAAATTGCCGATTTCCGTGCAAAATATACGGGGTTTGCATAATTTCATAATCCTCGCATTTTCGTTGCAAAAAAAGTCATGTATTTTAGCAGAAAGTTAAAAAATGTTCCGTTTGCTTCACACAAGAGCAGCCATTTCCCCCTGTTTCCATGGGAACGTTATGAAGTGACGCAATTACGCGACGCCAGACAGACTCACGGAGGCGATTGACATCTCACAAATCGAACTCGTATATCTGTCTGTCACACGTTCTACCGTCACATCGTTACTTAATAAACAACATAAGATAAAAGTAGTAGCATCAAAATTACCCACACACATGAGGTGTTCGAGGCGCACATATAACACTGCAGACAGTTCAACAGGGAGCGCGCAGCTCTTAAAGGGGCCACACCTTATTTACACTCTTACAGTCTGAAATAAAACAAGATGAGAAATTAAATATTCCCAGCACTTTCTATGATGTAGTATGCTTGTTTATCAAAGGAAGTAATAAGAAATGACTCTTACATTAGCCTAGTGAGAACACGATGTTGGGGGAATCACTTTTTTTCTCTTTTTCATCAAACCGCAATTTTTGAAAGTTCTCTCAATTTTTGCAAATTCCTGCAATTTCATCGCATAAAATTGCATAAATATCCCGCATATTCCATCGCATTTTTAAAGAAAACGGGCCAAGTAATTAATCAATTTTTGTCCGCAACAATCACAAAAAAACTCCGTGTTTATACTATTATGGTAAATGTTATATATAAATCGCAAATTTTTTCACAAATTTTTGGAAATTACCACCACAAAATCAGTCATTTTGATCGCAAAAATCACAAAAAAAAATCGTGAAATCCTGGAGGGACTGATAAATACATGACTTACCTCAACCCTGTCCCTAAACCTAACCGTCACTGGGGTCAATGGCATTTATGACTGCACTGGACATTTGACGGCGTGTACAGACACGCGGAATCACTCGGACGTTAATGGCGTAGACATACACGCGGATAGCTCAAAATGCGTAGAGATAACACGCCACTTGACTCGAAAGTGGCGTGTATGTTTATGCAAAAGTCATGATGTCATGTTGACGCTTTGAAATCGCTGGTTTGTCTTTCGAAAGGGATTTGACGCTATGGGGAAACGCCTCCGCGTAAACCATTGTCTGAAACGCTTATCCAATCCTATTGGCTAGGGACAGCCTATGACATCACTACTAGTGCGACCCAGAAGTATATAAGGGGACCTGGAGAACATGTCAACAAAGTATCATCTTCGGGGACTGTTGTGTCTCAACCTGAAACTTCAAAAAGGTAATCATGGCATTTTGAAAAAAAATGCTTCAGGAAGTGTGTGCATCTGTGTCTTATATTTAATGTCATCACACAACTTGTGTGTTTATTGTTTGGGCTGAGAGCAGGATGGATCAGTTCCTGATGGATCTGCTTGTGTCAACTGAGTTTTTCCCTTGAGAAAACGCTCAAGGTCTCTGTACCAGGCGGATCAGGCTGAGACCGGATAATTGTTTATCTCTCACGCCCCCTGAGAATCGCGAGAGTGAGGATGTGTTATTAAATATAAATAAATAAATAAATAACATCCTCTGATCCAGCAAGAAGTGCTCTGTTGGCTCTAAAAACAACCAGCCCAAGAGAACAGGATTTACAACATGAACCCTCACAGCAACCCTGCCCCATCCCAAGGCTTCAACTTCCGTCGGAGGAAAGCGCTGACTTGAAGAATGGTTGACGAACGGACGAATGGCTCTACTGACTTTACAGCCGTAGCAGCTCTCATTAGCCTTCCATTCCTGCCCGATCTACACAAGAAGAACCCTCAACGCACAAACCTCTAGCCCAGAGATTGGTCAATGCTTATCAGGTTTGAGTAAAGCCTTCCAGAATCTATCTGAGGATCGTTCTGTATGGTTACTTAGCTCCCTAAGTCTAGTCGGAAGGTCGAAGGACACTCACAAGCTCTGTGTAGATCCAGGATTGAGTAGAGTTACTTGTCTTGTTCGCAAGGTTTAGAAAGGCTATGCTGAGATCTACTCTTCAGGATGCCCGTCTCTATGATGAGCGATTACTGCAGTCGGACGCCTCTACAAGTGAGGCAAGTAATGTTAGAGAGACTGCCTGGGTTGACAGTTGTGACTTTCGACGTTGTAGGCTTCCTCGATAGTCCGGGAGCGTTAAGGCTAGGGTTGGGTATCGAGAATCGAGTATCGATTGGAACCGAGACTAACTTTTCGTTTTTCCCGGAATCGTTCAAAAGTTAAAATTTCGATTCCTAGTTTCGATATTCACAGTCCGCCGAGCGGAAGAAGAAACCGCTGAACAACACCAACGAAGAAGCGTCTACCGGAAGTGTTGGCATAACCGCGCGAGTCGAACATGAGTACCTTACGTCGGCGATCCAAAGTGTGGCTTCACTTTTCTAAAAATAACGAAATCTCGGCAAAATTCAAAATTTGTGACAAAAGGAGTATTTTTACAGGAGTATTTCCTTCAGAAAGGCCGTTGGTTAGCAAGATTAGCTAATTTTTTTTGACCCTGCTTCTTAAAAGAATCGGAATCGAGAATCGTTAGGAACCGGAATCAAAACAAGGAAGCGGAATCAGAATCGTTCAAATTCAAACGATACCCAACCCTAGTTAAGGCCCGTACACACCGGGACGAATATCAGCGCGCGTTATTCGTCAGTGTTTTTCAAAACGTTTTGTGTGTTCACACCCAAGTGATTTTCGCTGACGATGAGCCGAGTGAACATGCAAATTCATTCCCTGACATTAGATGGCGCCAATTTGCTCTGCAATACCACTCCATATCAGTTCTCTTTTATCAAGATGTTTGTAGTCGCTGTTGCGTTTGTCATATAGTTCTTTATGTTCCGACACCAACGAGAACAGCAGCTCTACATTCATCTTGCCTCGCATCTTCTGCGTCTTATTTCTTCCTGGCTGTGTAGACGGCGACGCTACTTGGCGTATATCTTCTTCGCCGTTCCGTATGTGTGCCCCCAAGTTGTGTTTTAACTTCAGAAGCTCCAAACACGCGAGCAAAAGCGGCAATCTCATTGGGCGGATAGTTTTTTCAAACCCGAGGCGTTTTTTTTATTTTAAAAATTACACTTTTTACGCGTGGTGTTTTACGCGTCGGTGTGCACACTCACATTGGCGCCCTTTGTTTAGTCACGAGGCGGCAACGCGCGTGAAATTCGTGCACTCCCCTCAGCATGGTGGCGTCGGTATATCGTTCACCATAGCGTCAAATCGACGCAGTGCAAGTTCCCTTTCGAAAGTGACCGTCTAGGTTCCGAGTTCCGACTTGTGTTGCTGAACAGTCCCTTCAGACGATAAGTTGTTGACATGTTCTCCATGATCCAATTATATATACTTCCGGGTCGTACTACTAGTGATGTCATAGGCTGTTGTGGCCAATAGGATTGCCTTGATTTAGATAAGAGTTTCAGACACCGGGTCACGTGGAGGCGTTCCCCATAGCGTCAAATCGACACAGCGTCTCTTTCCCTGTTCTCAGTCGGTACAATCGTAACAGATTCTGATGTCAGAAACCATCTTGTAATCAATCAGATCAACGTGTGATCGTCAACGAGTGAATCCTTCTGCTAATGTGAGTGTGTGGAGGTGGGGCACATTTGCATATTCATAAAACCGCTAATACTAAATGAGGCAAGGGAGTAGTTATAAAGTCAAAATTGCACGATATATACTCACAATTCTGACTTTAACGCAATTGCGAGTTTATATTCTTTATGTCAGAATTGTGAGATGTAAACAAGTCGCACTTATCTTTACGGTATACGGTTTCCGTATTAATGTGCTTAAGTTCCTCTGGCTTTTGAACCAATCATCTCTTCCTCTGTACTACTACAGCGTTAAATAAACATGAATCAACATCAGTAGGAAAGTTAAAATATACATAACAACTAACTGATATCAATCATGTCTCTGGTAATCAGTGTTTCGTCGCAGAAACATGACAATAAAACATCTTGTAAACAATGTCACGTACTGTCACATTTACCTCAGAAAAGCCATTCAAAAATAAACTAGCTATATTACATTTCCATTCTATTTTTTACACTTATATCGTTAGAAAAATGTTAAAAACAACTTTGTATTAATTGTATAAAATCACTTAATATACCATTTTTTTATATTATAGTAATGTTATAAAATTAATATTATTTAAAAATAATTGTAATTAAATGATTTTAATTTTAGATATTAAAATAATTCTGAGTCCATGTTTGAAGCTCTAGTCTAAACTCAAAAAGTTGGCAGCCCTGTTATTCTTACTGACTGTAATAGCCTATATTTTATTTATAGCCTATACTTTATTTTATGTAATAGCCTATACTTTATATTTTATATTATATATATATCATCACACGCGACTGATATATATATATATATATATATATATATATATATATATGTATATATATATATGTGTGTGTGTGTGTGTGTGTGTGTGTGTGTGTTTGGTTAGTTTTTAAAAACAAACGATGATTATGAGAATATAAGAGGTAAATGTTCCCTTAATTACCTTCGTTTTTCACCGTCACTCGAGCATCATAATGCAGTTTTGTTGAGCAAACACATGAAATCCATAACAACAGCACACAAAAACCCGTCCAGTCCATCTTAACAAGCGAGTCTTGACAGACTGGGTGAGTTTTAATACGTCTGTCAAATTTCCTTACAGGGGCGGTTTCATTTCATGTTAACTTAGCCATCTGTCACTGTGGGTGTGTGCAGTGCACTTGATAGTGGGATGGTGGATGCTTAGTTCTTTATCTGAATGTCAAGTAAATAACTTTAATTAAACACTCAGTTGTATAATAAATGTAATACAGTGACTTACACACGTTACTGATGTTCTCATTTAATGCGACATGTGTGACTGACGAGTAAGCTGAGCGTCCGCCAGATGGCAGTTTAAACGGTTAACTTAACGGTCGAAAGCAAGTTGACTGGATTAAAATAAAGAATTAGAATAAATCGAATTTAAGTAAGATAAGAGCGCGAAATAACATCATCATCATCATAATTTGTCAGAGAAGACGCGTGTATGATGATTTAATGGGTTAAGCGCATTATTAGTGAACATCACATATCAGAAATGACAAGAACTTAAAAAAAAAAACCCGAATAAATAAATAAATAAACTGACCGTGTCTGCTTCTCGCCTAGGGTCCATGTTTTGACTATTTTCTTTCTATCATTCACCGAAAAGCTAGTCTGTACCCTAGTAACTTCTTTTGATGCTGAACTGAACTGCACATGATCCGCGCACGCCAAAACAAAAGTCCTCTTAAAAAAAAAAAAAAAAAAAAGCTGGATTTTTATTTTTTATTTATTTATTATTATTTTTTTGCTAGCTGGATTTAGAATAAACTATTGATACTTGACCTGTATAAAATGTACAATACTACAAATTATATATAGCCTAGATTTGGCATGTCCTCAGTTTGTAGTCTTTAGCTAAACACAGACTTAAGAAATAAAAAGGGAATTCTTTGTGGGGGTATTTATTATGGCAAAAGGGAAAAATATGAATTGGTTACTAGTAAACGAAATTCCTGAAAACACACACACACACACACACACACATATATATTATATGAAGAGTTCAGATGCAAAAGCCTCTAAGTGCCATTTGAAATTTTCTTCTAGAATGATCATTTTTATCAAGCTTGTATATTTAAGTTCAGTAATTTCACTTAAATGGCAATGATAATTACATATTAATTGTTATTTAAGTGAAATTACTGAACGTAAATATACAAGTTTGATAAAAATCATCATTAAAGAAGAAAATTTCAAATTGCATTTAGAGGCTTTTGCATCTGAACTCTTCATATATAGCCTAGATTTGGCATGTCCTCAGTTTGTAAACTATTCTTTAGCTAAACACAGACACAGACTAAAAAGGGAATTATTTGTGGGGGTATTTATTATGGCAAAAGGGAAAAATATGAAATGGTTACTAATAAAAACGAAACTCCTGAAAACACACACATATATACAGTATATATATATATATATATATATATATATATATATATATATATATATATATAATTTATAGTCTTCTATATGAAGGACTTGGTCTTGTTGGATAGAATCTTTGTTTTTTTTCTCTCATAAATACATCACATTATGAAAGTAAATATTGGATTGCAAATACAGCTTTTTAACACTGGCTTTGTCTTTCGTGGCAAAAGATTTGCCCTGATGAAGAGTTTGGTCGGAAAATTTCAGTATAGTTTTATGTGATCAGATAAATAGATTTGTTTAATTATTTTGACCTATGGCAAGCCGTTTTAACATTTAATCCTTAAAGTATACTACTATCTATTTTCATGCTTATCTTTTAGATACTATATCTATTCCAGGTATACTACTGATCATTCTTTGATCTAGTGTATCACCAGCCCTAGACCTGCTATCTAGCGAGACCATCTGCCATTTTCTAAAAACAAAAATTTACATTTATATACTTAATAATCACAAATGCTCATCTTGCACTATTTTGACGCGACACACATTACGAAAGGTCACGCGTGTTTCGGTTCAAAAATGCTGCTGGGCGAAAATTTCATTTTCATCTGAACTTCAAAATCGTCCAACATTGTTGTTTTACCTTTTATTTCTTTATTTTTTATTATTGTAAATGGTGTTTGACTCCATTGAAGTCACATGAACATCTTGGATGATGTGGGGACAGTAAATTGTCAGGACATTTTAATTCTGAAGTGAAAGACTCCTTTAAACTGATGAAACTCACGGCGTCTGCACTGAACCGGCCAAATGAATTCATCCGTCAGCGGCTGAATTACTTTAATGAATTTGCAATGTTATGCCAGAGAGAGAGAGTGAGACTGACTCATGCTCGATCTCTCCGAACATTGGGTCATTCTGGAGTCATAATCCGCTTATACAAGTACCAAAAATAACTAGGTTATTTGCTAGTTGGTCAGATTGACTTCTGTTGCAATCGGGCTCTTGAAATCTAATGTTCTTGTATACTGAAAAAAATCTGTTTCACGTGTGCGTGTGTGTGTGCGTGCATGCAGAACTGGGTACTTTCCTTTTCTTGTAGGTTTGTTTACGTACAGTCCTGTTGTATTACATAATGCAATAATATTTTTTTAGGAATCCCACAAAAGTACCACAGGAAAAATATCATGAAAAAAAATTTCCTTTTAGGATTTCCTTCATGGTGTGTGAGAGAGATATAGAAAGAGAGACCGTGTTTATGAGAAAGTCTCTGTGATTTTGTGTGTGTGTGTGTGTGTGTGTAACAGGTACATAAAGTGTACTGTTAAATGTATTTATAGTTTATTAGAATTCCCACAAAATTGTTTGTTGACATATACCTGATATTACTGCCTAAGTGAAGTCGAGTGTCTTTCCCTTTAATTAATGTGATGTCATGAGTCAATATAATTTCCTGTTCTGTCTCCTCCTCTTCCTCTTTGCACTGGTGATGCAGTGAGAGGTGAGGTTATTTTAGGCTCCTGATAATCATATTTAATCGTAATCTTAATTGTTGCTTTTATGTCTAAATTTTCAATCTAATTCCTGTGTATAATGTTATTTTACTTATCTGTGGGCTATTTCCGGTATTTTGTCCCGATTAAGTGATTTTTTAACATCTGGGCCTAAAAGTGAAATGAGAACACGTGTGACAAGTGTACATCACATTTGTTTTATAGAGCTAGAGAGGGCGATTCTCACTAAGAGGCTGATTACATTTTATTTGTGCATCAGGTATGTCTTTCTGTTATACGTTTATGTTTTATATGCATTTCATTGTGATTCTTCCTCTTTGCACTGGTGATGCAGTGAGAGAGCTAGAGAGGGCGATTCTCACTAAGAGGCTGATTACATTTTATTGTGCATCAGAATAAAAAGATCGCTGAAACTGCTGAGTCCTGTCCTGTTCTCCCACGTGAATGAAAAACACAACGCAGAAAAGAGACCAGTTACACTTGGTGCCGTGATCATTTCGGATCATCAGATCAGCGCTTCGCCGATCGCCGTGGTTGCGTGACGGCTCGCACGCTTCGCAGATCTTCCTCGCCGAACTTCTTCCTCGTCGCCATTGCTCGTGGAGGCTCCAGCTCGCGCACGAGGAGGGCGCGTGTGTGAGACGAACAGTGTGCGACAACTCGCGGGAAGAACTGTTGCGTCTTAAAGGAACGGTAACGGTTGTTGACTCCTGAAACTTTTTTTTTCCCTTCTT